GACGAAGTAAAAATATTGTATCAATTTTTCTTTATCGTTTCATATTGGGCCTTTTTAAAATATTGAAATTGTCAATAACAAATTAAGAATATCATTCTATATTTTTGAAAGAAAAGAAACGTCAATAGTGTTGTGGTTGTTTTTAGTTGTTTTTTTCAAGTTTTATCTAAATGTTATTTATAATTGAATTTCAGTCAATTTTTTTTTTGTTGTTGAAAATTTTCTCCTTCTGGATAAAAATTTTGCGTGCAAATAATGATTACGTTAGTTAATTTAGCCTTAAAACCAGCGTTTAAATAAGGAATTTCACGGTTTTTTTATTTGAAATTCTTACATCATTGATAATTATTCTTTTTGTTTGTTTGATGGGCAAAATTTGGTAAACATTATTTTCTATGAGGCCAACCAACAAACAAAAAAAGAAAGTTTTACGTTTTTATAAATTCATTTTCAAAATGTCAAACAAACACATTCATGCATGTATGCATATTATTATTATGGAATAATAATGTTTATTCATTCAATATTGATCATTTGGGAATTGAATGAATGTCATTTTTTTTCGTTTTTTTTTTGTTTTCGTTTTTTGATGGTTGGCCTCAAATATAGAATCGAAAATAATATATCAAATGAAATTGGTTGGGTTGATAGAGAAATTTTTTTAGAATTTTTAGTTTTCTGAAAAATTTCTTTTCGTGGAAAAATTTCCGAAAAAGTAAATCCGGTTACAGGTGGTGAAATTATACCTGATGAATTTTATTTTTCAAATGAAAATAAATGAATTGGGTGTAACCAAACTGCTTTTTTTTCTACGTTTGATGAACAAAAACAAAGAAATTTTCCGGAAATTTTCTTCATTATTTTTTTTCTAATTAAACTTAGTGTGTGTGTGTGTGTGTGTGTTGCTTAACATTTACACAATACTTATGGTTTAATCAATTAATTCAATCGGGTAAAAAAAACATTGACATAACACAAATTCAATTTAAATTGCCAGCGTTTCTGTTGATGATAATGGTAAAAAATTTTCGCTTGTAAATCGATTCATTTCAATTAACGTCATTAGATTTGTTACTACTTTAAATAAATTAATGAAAACTTTTTTTTTCTGGTTTCGTTTTGAATGAAATGAATTTCAATTGTTAACAACTACACAGACAATAACGAAAATTGGAAAAAATTTAAAGTCATTCATAAATGACATTTCCGCAATTACCAATGATCAAAAATATGAATATTATTCTGATGAAACATTGTTCATCCAGAATTTGACAATTATATTTTCTTATTTGATTATAAACGTTTGAATTCAGCCACCAAATCAATCTATTCTTGGCAGAATATGCAAACAGATGATGGAGAAAAAACTTTTTTTTCCCATCAAAATTACATTTGTCATCGAATTCATCATCATCATCATGCATTGACTTTATTTGCAGGGCCCTGTTTTTTTTTGTTTGACTAAAGATTTGACATCATCATCATCAAGGTATAACCAAATTGAAAAGTTTTCGTTTTCGTTCTGGACATATTTCTATTTAGAATCCATTCGCAGAATCTCTCTCTCTGTGTGTTTGTCACATTATACATTCACATAAGAAACATTCAAGATTTGCGAAAAACAATTATTGATAAAATCAGTGTATACGGTACGGGAAAAAAAGTGCCAAAAAATTTTTTGTGAATATTTTTTCATGAAGCAAAGCAAAAAAAAAACATATGAATTTCATATTGATTTTGTTGTTGTTGCTGTTCATTTTGTTTGATTCGATTTTGATATTTGTCATTCATTCATTCATTCAATCATATTCATTTCAATTTTATTTGCCATCACCTCTAGTTTTGAAAGAAAACAAACCAAAAAAAAACGTCAAAATTTCCTTAGAGAATATTTGTTTGATTCTTTCCAGGAATATTTCTCTTGCACAACGATTTATTTTCTTTTTCTTCTTTTTTTTTGTCGGTTATGAAAAGCGAACTGAGAAAACAAAAATTCACATCATCATTCAGAAATATGCTTTTTATCATTCAAACAACAAACGAAAAAACTTGCAATCTAAATTTGATATATTTTCACACAGCTTTTGAAAAAAAAATTCTTTCACTAAGAACCAAGAATCGAAGAGAAAAAAGTGACAATTTTTCAATGATTTTTTTACTTTCGATCGTTTTTTCTCATTGTGTGAATGCTGAAATCAATTCTCATTTGATACTTATTTTGGCCACTTGAAAAAAACATACATTCTGTTTGCTTGTACGTCCCTGGATGTTTAAAGATTCTTTATGTTTTTTTTTGCTGCTGGATTCTTTGTCGAAAGAATTTTGATTCTTGCAATTTATGCAATTTTTTTTCGTTGTTGCTGTTGAAAATTCTTATTGAATTATTCTTTTTATTGTTGTTTATCGTATTTAGTTTTCAACCTAACCTGTTCACTTGGTGATTGTATTGCGAACAAAAATTTTCATTTCATTTAGTTTTTTTTTTATCACTTCTTTGTTCTCCCGTGTGTTTGATTGAAGGAAAAGTTTTTCGAAAAGTTGACAAAAGTCTCTCTCTCTCTCTCGGTGTGTGTGTGTGTGTGAATAAAATCTCATCGGGAACAAAAAAATTTGTTAGTTGGTTCCAATTAATTCTCTCTCTCTCTCTCCCTCTCTCTCTCTCTGATTCTCTGATTCTCTCTTTGTCTGTATGTGGTTCAGAGCAAAAAAATTCAATTTAATTCAAATTTATTCATATACGATTCTTGTTTAAACAACAACAACAATGATGTGGTACAACAGATTTTTTTAAAATAANTTTTTTTTTTTGAAAGTTGACAAAAGTCTCTCTCTGTGTGTGTTTGAATAAGTTCTCTTCGGTAAAAATTTGTTAGTTGGTTCCAATTAATTCTCTCTCTCTCTCTCTCTCTCTCTCTCTCTCTCTCTCTCTCTGATTCTCTGATTCTCTCTTTGTCTGTATGTGGTTCAGAGCGAATAAAAATTCAATTTAATTCAAATTTATTCATATACGATTCTTGTTTAAACAACAACAACAACAATGATGTGGTACAACAGATTTTTTTTTAAATAAAAATTTCATTTAAATTCATTCGTTTTTTTTGTTCTCACTTTTTTTTTGTTGATTAACTTGCAAGATGTGACGAATGTAATGAATGTTTATTGACATTTTTTTTTAACTTGAACTTTGGTTCTTTAGTTTTTCTTTTTTTCGGAAAATAAATTCCTCTTCTGAAACAAAAATCTGGGCAATTATCATTAATGTCTTCTTATTATTGAATCAAGTGAATAAATCTTTACCCAGTCGTCGTCGTCGTCGTCGTCGGTGTTCAAGTTGCCAAGGATTTTCATCAACATCAAACATTTACAGCAATAAATTTTTTTTCATTCTTTTTATTTATTATGTAATTAAATCATTTATGGTCTTTCGGGAAAAGATGGAGAAAAGTTTCTTTTTTTCCAAGAAACTTTCCTCATTATCATTCATTCATTCATTATCTATTTATTGATTTTTTGTTCCCGGGAAATTTTCTTTATAACAAAAGCAATAATAAAAAAGAAAAACGCAAAGGTCATCATCATCATCATCATTTGATCATAAATTATAAGTTGAACAATTGATTGATTGAATGTAATAAATTTTGATTGAATTTGGGATAACCGAAATTCAATTATTAATAAAATGTAGCAAATAACCGAAATTCTGCTCTCAAGAATCAAAATGTGAAGACATCATTATCATCAGATACACCGCAAACATAAAAATTGAAAGATCAATAATAATTAAGAATTTCCTTCTTCTTCTTTTGTTGGCTAGATTTCTTCATACTCATTATTTTTCTCTTTTTTTGACTTTGATTTTGGCTATTTTTTCTCGAATTGATGTTTCGACAATTGATATTTGAAATGGTATAAAAAATGATGGTAGAAAATTCTGCTGGTTGTGTGTATGCATTCAAAGAAATTCTGCTTGGATAAGCAGAATTTTTTCTTTCTGACGATATTTCTAGGATTTATTCCTTTTTTTTCATCACCAAAAAGAGAAAAGTGAAACAACGCGACATTCAGATTCATGAATTGAATGATGACCGAAAAAAAATGCTACATGTTTGGGTGTGTGTGTGTCAAATGCATATCACCACCGCCACCATCACAATTCGTTTTTTCGAAAAAAATTTTCTAGCAAAAAAAAAGTTTTATCCAACAGAACTTTTCAATGTAAAAACAAAAAACAGGAAAAAATTCTTTCACTAATTCAAATGCATGTTGCATATATGAAAATCATTTAATTTTGTTAATGAATAATTGTTGTAATTGGTTGTAAAAAGCAACAAAAAAAAAAAATTTCGTTTGCATAATAATTATGATTGATGGAAAATATGAATGAAGAATTTACTTTGTTTTCATCTCCCCTCAAAACAATGAGAGGGAGAAATTCTGTAAAATTTACATTAAAATTAACAAGAAAAAATCACACACAGTGCCAGCTTACGGAGAAAATTGCTACTAAACTATTACTTTATTTTAAATGAAAAAACTTGATTTGTTCGTAGTAATCTAATTGTTATTTACAAATGTAAAAATCTTTTAGTGAGTGAATAAATGAATGGAATGGAATGGATGTAAAAAAACGCCAGGTAAAATCATTATTTCCAAACTTAAGTACAGAATTATAATTCTAATTTCATCATCATTCATCCATCAAATTTTTACAAAAATTGAATTTTGAACAATGTTACAAAAAATTGATAAAATGTAGCAAAAAGAAATTCTTTTTGTTCAAAAAACTTTTAGTTTTTTTTTTGCTATTTGTAAAATTCTTCATAAAATTTATTAATTAACACACGCTATTTTCACACCAGACACACACATCAAATATTTGCTGAATTGAAATTTGAAACTTTATTTTTCATTTTTTCAAGCTGCTACTATTGAAAATGAAATTTTTCTAATTTTTTTCTTTCTCTTTTTCTCGTTTGTTTTTTCTCTATTCATAAATCTAGGTACGAACATTGTTCGTTAGTGGACTTCCAATGGATGCTAAACCACGTGAATTATATCTATTATTTCGTGCATATAAGGTAACAATTAAAGTTTAATAAAGTTTATTTTTTGTTTTGTTGAAATTAAAAAAAACAGAATTTGAAAACTTGAATAACTAACGGGTAACATTTGTTTTGTTTTGCTGATGATTACGAATCTGGAAATATTTTTCTTCGTTACAAATAAATCCAGTCATTCGAAAATAATAATTTTTTTTTTCACCAAAATTTCAATTCAAACGAATTCAAAGTTTTCACACATCAACAACAACAACATAGAAAAAACTGATGTGTAAAAACAGTGTAGTGAAAACATTAATTCATCATTCGATTAACGTAATGAATGATGAATCTTTTTGTTTGTTGTTGTTTGTTTGGCTACATGATGTTTCAATGTGTGCCCTAAGCGATAAAACAACTATGATTTATTGTTCATTTTTGGTCAGCCAGTTAGTTTGTTTGTATGTTTGTTATCAGTTTATTACTTTTTTTCAATCATTTTGTTTGTTTGTATGCGGTTATTCAAATGAAAATAACCGAAGAATAAATCAGTGGTCATCAGTGAACATTCTCTTTTTTCCCCTTCGAAAAAAAAACAAACTACCTTAATTCATCAATGTATTTCATTAGAAGAAAAATGAAAAAAATCATGATTAATATTTGAAAACAAACGATGCAACGATGCAAATATGTTTATCTAATAGTAATAATAATAATATTCGTGTCCATTAGCTATGAGTTAGTTATTCAAAATGGAATCAAACACTTTATTCTATGTCACTGTTAATGATGATGATGATGATAATGAAATATTCATAAGTGAACGAAGTTTTTCTTTTTCTTTTTCTTTTGCATATGTTTTTTTTCTCTCGTTTCTTAGCACTAGATAATGATGATGAAAAAGAAATCATCAATTTAGTCAATTCAGATAGACGATGAAATGATGGGCGAAAAAAAAAGAATCTTAGCTAATTGAACTAAACAGAAAAGAGAAAAACAGAAAAGAAAAAATTCCATTGAAAATTAATGGAGATTAGTGAATGATTGCTTCGATTGCTTTCGAATCATAATAATGAAACCGAAACCAAAATAGACAAATAAACAATAAAGAAAGAAAAGAAAAACTTGGCGATAAATTAGATTATCTTTGATTCTTTTTTTCTTTCTTTTTTTGCATTGATGTTTATGGTTGAAAAGATATCATTAGAGCTGCACACAGAATCAGTGTATTCTATTTGTTAAAATCTTATTGGTTTTTTTTTGTTATTATCGAATAACAAAAGAAAATTATAGGTAAGATGCGGTAATCCCTTGAAGATAATTTCAAAAGAAATATCGACAATCAAATTGTTAACTCAAAAATTAATTCAAAAATACAATTACCAGTGATGGTAATTAACACCGTTTTTTTTGGAACGATATTTATAATTACTTTTTTTTGAGACATTTATTGTCATAAGATATTAATTGGATTTATGAATGATTTTCAATTTTTATTATTGCCTATAAATTCACGTTGATTGTTCAATTAATCTTTTAAAAATTTGGTTTTTTGGTTTTTTTTGCTTCACACACATACAGGGATATGAAGGATCATTATTAAAAGTTACCAGTAAAAATGGTAAAACATCATCACCGGTTGGTTTTGTTACATTTTCAACAAGAGCTGGTGCCGAAGCTGCTAAACAAGATTTACAGGTAAATATTTTCATTTTTGTCTATAGAAAAATATTGAAAGATAATTTGTCATTATGTTTTCATTCATTTGTTATCTAAACAACAAAAAAAACAGCAAGGTATCCGGTTTGATCCTGATTTACCACAAACAATACGACTTGAATTTGCCAAGAGCAATACCAAAGTGAACAAACCAAAGCAATCATTGCCTTCATTATCATCATCATCATCATCGGCAGCAGCAGCAGCTGCTGCTGCTGCTGCTGCCGCTACTGCCTCAAATCATCAAGCGGCATTAGCGATGCATCCGCTTACTGGCCGTAATTATTGTTATTTTTTCCCTTTCCACCTTATTTCTTTTGAAAATTAAATGACTAACTTTTTTTCAATTCTATTTCTACCCAAAAAAATCTATCCAGTCGATCTAAGTGCTGCATTGTTTTCAAATCCACATGATAGCTGGGCAACACCACATCCATTATCATTTCCTGAAATGAATACATCGGCTGCATTACATTCAGCTGCAGCATTAGTACATCCAGCATTACATGCTCAACTACCGGTATGTTTTATAAAAATTGATTTTTGAACACAAAAAAATACAAAAAAACATCAATAATTTACACCAAACAAATTCTATTTTTAAAAAAACAACCACAGAATCAGTTAGAATCAAAATAATCAGACAGAATTACTTCTTTCAAATTAAATTCTTAGCTTTAGAATTTTTTAATTAAAATTTTAATTAATTAATTAATCAACTAATTGATTGATCTGATCTATATTTCCATTTTTGCACACCTGCACTCTTCATCATTCGCAAACACACACACACACAATCACCTATTCCAATTTTATCATTTGAACGAACGAACGAACAATAACAATTCACCTTTGACACTCATATCAATCACTCACAAATTGAATTCTTATTTTTCTTTTTTTCTTATTTCGTTAATCACTTGACCTTGTTTTTATTCCATTCTTTTTTCTTCTTCTTCTTATTCTTCTACTTGTTCTTTGGTCACATTTTTTCTCGATTCTCTGTTATTATTATTATTATTTTTTTTTTGTCATTCACTTTTCACTAATCATCATCATCATCATCATCATCATCATTCATTATCATTATGATCATCAAAAATTTTGCGTAACACTATTTTCACACATCCATACACACACACACACACCCACTTAAATGTAAATCTGCACTGTAAACTATTTCCACACACCCACACTTACACACCTTTACCTGTTTGTTTTTTTTTTAAATAAAATAATAAAAATACAGCCTCAATTAGCAGCCGTATCACATCCAATGAGTCATCATGGTCATGCAGCAGCAGCAGCATTAGCTGCAAATCTTCATCATCATCAGCATCATCATTCACAATTACATCATCATCCTCATCATCCTGGAACTGGAATACAACCATCACATTTAATTGCTGCATCATCAACAACCGCTGCATTAGCAAATCCAATTGGTCAAACACCACCATTATCATCAACAACTGTAACAACAACAACAGGTGCAACACATCATCATCATCATCATCAAAATCATCTTAATCAACATCATCAACATCAACATCAACATCCGCATCTACATCAACAACAACAACAATCAAATAATTGCAATACATCACCATGTTCAACATTATTTGTTGCTAATCTTGGTCAATATGTTTCCGAACAAGAATTAAAAGAATTATTTGGAAGGTATTCTAATAATAATAATAATAATAATAATAATCATACAATCATTACAAATCATAATCATAATTAAATTAATCCGATAAACAAACAAACAAACAAATAATGATAAATGTGAAACTGTGATATACATGTGAAATTGATAATCATCATCATCATCATTATCATCATCATCGTTACCTGATTAAAGTTTTTTTTTTGTTTCGTTTTATTTTGGCAAAAAAAGAGGTGTTAACTAAATGGACGTGATGGATGTGAATTAAAGATTGAAAAATTAAAAAATCAAAGTAAAAAACAAAGTTAGATCATTTTTAATTGGTTAATTTTATTTTTCTGCTTTCATTCATCATTCAAGATTTCTCTTCCCATTCGCCACCCCCCTCCCTCCAAAAACAATATCACCAAAATTTATTTTGAAAAAAAAAATTTCCATTCACCCTATATATGCAATGATGATGTTGATGATGATGACGATAATGATGAACAAATCCAATCAATCAATCAATTTTTTTCAAATATTCATCCACACAAACACATTATTGTATGCGTATGAAAGTTTTTTTGTTGTTGTTTGTTGTTTGCACTAATTAACGAAAAAATCACCTTTTTCGAATGCATTCTTTTCTTCTTTTTTTTTGGTTGCTCACAAACTTTCATAAAATCCTTTCAATATATATCGATCATATCAATCAATTCAAATTAATCGTTTCACGTAACACTATTTATTCACACACTGAACACAAATAACAAACAAAAAAAAACAAACTTATATTCAATTAATGATTTTGATACTTACCTTTTTCATTTTTTTTTTCTCTTTCTCTCCTGTTTCACTTGTATCATTTTTTTTGTTGTGGTTGTTGTTGCTGCATTTCTGCCCCGTCTCTCTGTGTGTGTGTGTGTTTGTGACATGTATGAATTTGTTTTGTCCATTTCCAAATCAAATCAAAAAATTGTTAGTTTTATTGGATTTTGCCGACTTCGGATGCATAACAAAAGTGGAGCACCGGTTGCATTTGTCGAATTTACGGTATGCTTGTTTTCCTCTTTTTTTTTTTGCTTACCTTTTTTTTTGGTCATCTGTTTTCAGCTATAATTAATTAATATTAATGGTATGATTGGCATTTCAATCTAATTTTTGTCTTTTTTTTCATACATTTTTTTCAAATGAAAAAACAAATCATTAATCATCAAATTAACAAACAAAAACAAAAACAAAAATAGGATATACGCCTAGCAACACATGCAATGAATGCTTTACAAGGATTTATTTTATTTTCATCATCCGATCGTGGTGGTGGTATACGTATTGAATATGCTAAAAATAAAATGGGCGATATATCCGGAGGTTCATCATCCGGTGGTTCATCATCTGTTGGTGGATCATCAATTAATAGTCAACCATTAAATCATCATCATAATCATAATCATAATCATCAACATCAAAATAATCATATTTCTCAACATCATCTTCAACTTCATCATCATAATAATGATATAGTCAATTCGGTAAGTATATAATTTCAAAAACTTAATCATGGCGCCATCCAACGTTTAATTCCGCCAAAATTAAAAAAAAAATTGAAATCAACAAGTTTTTTTAATTTGCATCTGAAGTAAATAGATGGCGCCATTAGATCCATTTTTTACAATTTTTTTAAAATTCATTTTTCTTTGAATTAGATTGGACATGATTAAAAAAAAAAAGTAAAAAACAAAAATTATCATTGGATGCTGGCTACTTAATTCAAATTTTAATTTCAAATTTTGAATCATATCATTTTCATTCATCATCTTATTTACAAACAAACAAAATGAAACAAAAAAAAACTTTCTTGGTCATCAAACATTGTTGTCCCTATTTTTTTTTCTCCGCTGTCAATCATCATTTACTACGAATTGTTTTTGCTTATTTTAATCCTTTTTTTTGGCCATTATCATCATCATCATCATCATCATACTTGAAATTAATCTTGAAATTTTAAAAAATTTTCATCAATTATCATGCTAATTACTACTTACTTACTACTTGAACAACGACAACAGTAAATACCTTATAAAGAAAAGTTCAATAAAAAGATTTGTTTCTTTCTGTCATTTTTCTTTTCTTTTTCCTTTTTTTTTCGTCATTCATCATTCAATCATCATAATCATAATCATAATCATCAACACATGGATTATCTTGTATCATTATTATCGAGCTATTTTCTTTTTTCTCTTTCTCTAAATCTTATTATTATTATTAAATTACATCATTGGATGAATGATCAAGATTAAAACAAAAACAAAAAAAGAAAATTCTGTAATTTATTATTACATAACATGTATAAACCAAATAAAAAAATAAAAACAACAATGGTAAATCATGATAGAATAATCAAAAAAAAGGAGTAGTATCAATTTATAATTTACAACTTTACAAAAAAAAAAACAAACAAAACAAAATTACAAAACAAAATAATTACAATTTAGATTTACAACAACAACAACAACGACAAATTATATTTGTTAAATATAAATTATAAATTATAAATTACAAATTATAAAATATTTAAGTAATTTTAATTTTGTTTTTATTAACACTCAATACACACACAATACACATCTACTTATTTTATTTTATTGTTGTTGTTTCGGTATATAAAAAACAAAAAATTAAAAAATTAAATAGTCAAAAAATAAAAATTTATGAAATCTGATATCTTGTTGGTTGTTGCGGTTGGTCGTTGTCGTCCAGTAAATTGAAACAATGAAACANTATAAATTACAAATTATAAAATATTTAAGTAATTTTAATTTTGTTTTTATTAACACTCAATACACACACAATACACATTTACTTATTTTATTTTATTTTATTGTTGTTGTTTCGGTATATAAAAAACAAAAAATTAAAAAATTAAATAGTCAAAAAATAAAAATTTATGAAATCTGATATCTTGTTGGTTGTTGCGGTTGGTCGTTGTCGTCCAGTAAATTGAAACAGTGAAACAAGATGATGATGATGATGATGTGGTCAATTTCATGTCCAGTTGCTAACGGACCAAAAAAAAAAATTTTTTCCAGTGAAACGTTTTCAAGGATAATTTTCATTGATAATAATGTCGATAAATTTGATCAACATAAAATTGTTTTTTTTCTTTTCTTCTTTCTCTTTCAACATCGTATTGTTTGGGTTGAATAGTTTTTATTACCACACACACAGCAAACAATCATTACATAAAATATCATTAAAATGTTGAAGGGGAAAAATAATAATATTATCATAATGACAACGAAACCAGTGGAAAATTTTTCACGAAAAATGAATTTTTATGTTTTCATCGTATTGTACTGGAATTCTCTCCATCATTATTCACACATTCGGGGTATATGCATACTTTTTTCTACCACCACCAGGTTTCAAACAATCAGGTTCGGTTCAGTTCCGGTTTGGTTTGTTTGTTGGTTTGGAAATTCATTAGGGCAATATTCATGTAACACGTTCATCACTAATTGCTAATCAAATTTCTTTGAAAATCATCATTGTTTGATTTGATTATTTCGAAATACAAATTCTTGATTGAATTTTTTGTTTTCGAAACAAAAAATACGTGTCATCCGAATATCTTACCATTGTAGCATTATAAATTTGTTGAAAATTTAGAACAAAACATGATACATGGATTACTGATCTTTGATCTTTTCCCTATGATTTTTTTTTGGGGAAAAATAATTTCCTGTCTCTCTCATTCATTTTTCATATTTCGTAATTTTTTTTTGTCTCTTTAAACAAACAAAAAACTATTTTCCCTATTTGAAAAATCAAGCAAAATAATATAAAAACAAACTTGAAAATAAAATTCAATATTTATTATCCGCCAGGCAGAATGATCATCATGGATCATGATTCGTATAGAAATCATGACAGACAGACAGACAAATTTTGTTTGGAAATTTTTATTCACAACAAAAATATGGATAAAAGAAGGGGTTAAAAAGCATCAAACATCAAAAATACAAACAAAAAGAAAGAACTACAAACATTGACATTTATGAAATGAAAAATTTATTGAATTATTTGTTTTGAAATGAATAAAAAAAAATTTTTTTAAATAAACTTTTCGATTGATGACGATAATTAAACATTATCATCATAAATCCTCATTTCATAGATTAATCAATGATTGATAAAAAAAAAATAATCATGATTTGGATTTTGGGTTTTGTTTTTTTTCTCCACAGAATATTCTTTTCTTGATTTTATTTTTAATTAATTAACAAAATTCCCTAAATAATGTTGCAATAATCATTCAACAATGATTTTCATTGGAAAAACGAAAACATAAAGATCCGATTTGAAAAAATTGTTTTGTCATTTTTTTTTTTGAAAAATCTCATAGGAATTTGTGTGTACAATTTCGACAACAACAACAACAACAACAAAAACAACGGACGTTGACTGTTGTTGTTATTGTTGAAGAATAATTTCTTTTCTTTTTTTGTTAAGATTATTAAACAAATTAGGGAAAAACAACAACAAAAATACTGATAATTAGTGATTTGAGATCAGATGCTCATTAGTAATCATCATCATCATCATCATCCGAAAATGAAAAATCCCAATCAAATCAAATTGATAAACATGATCTCAATTCTTTGATTTCAATGAACAAGAGCAAGACGTACAAATTTTCAAAATTCTATGAACACAAACCTACACACACAAACAAACAAATGAATCCTTACTCATTTCAAGAATATTCTTTCACTAATAGTAGTTCAATTGAATCAATTGTTTTTCAATCAGCAAATATTTTTTTTTTGTCTCCGCCTCCTTTTTTGTTATCATCATTACAAAATTGTGATGATATCCATCATTAATTACTGGTTCGATGTTTTTTTTTCTGGTTAATGGTTATCAACAACCAGAAAGAAGTAACAAAAAAAAATTGTCAAACAACTTGAAAAACAACATTAAAATCAACACGCACACACACACACACAGGATATTCTAGCAGTCAAATATAGAATACGAAATTTTCAAATGAAACGTGATACGCTAATTACTGAACGACAAAACAGAAAAAAAATTCTCTAAAGGATTCTTTTGTTCATGTTTTTGCAAAATGAACAATAATTGTTGTCGATGATGTTGATGATGATGGCCGTTTGTTTGATTTGGGGATATTTAAACGAAGAACATTTCCAAAAAAAAAATTTCAAATCAAAATCAAAAGAATAAAAACCAAGAGTGAAAAAGAAAATTCAGAAGTCAAAAAAGAATATCAGTGATTTGATTCAACGAATTTGTTTGTTTGTGGCAAAAAATCAATAATAATCAATCAATCAATCAATCAAAAAAAATGGCCTCATCAACGATAACATCATTTTGTTTTGGTGGTCGTACAATATTTCTAATGACCATATTAATAATTATTTATTATTCAAATTATTATATGGTTGATGGATTTAAAAAACCACCATTGAATGGTGGAATTTTTGGTAAAAGATCATCATTATCATCTACAGTATCATCACNAAGAAATTGTTATGGGAGGTAAAGAAGTTATCAATAAAAAAACGAAAAATCAATACATTTTCCTTCCGGCGGTTTGGGCGTGTACAAATACAATTTCCGGTATGTTCCACATTTCTGGAGTGAACACGCCCCAACCGCCGGAAGGGTGTGCATTAAAATTCACTTTTTTATTGATAACTTCTTTACCTCCCATAACAATTTCTTCAAATCTTCAAATCAGATGAAGATTTGGAATAGCTTTGATTTCCAAAAGAAAACTTTTTTTCAAATCCTTTTGGAGAGGCGTGAGAGTTTTTTGCCCTTTGACCTCTGATGCTCTAACCTGAGAATTTCAAATGACATTTTTCGGAAACTTCTTAAAGAGACGAATAATCTTGCCAAGTTTCATAGAAATGTTCGGAGTGATGGCCGCTGGAGAGCAATTTTTGCAAATGGGCGTGTTTTTCACTGGACGAATGTGGGTGCGTTTGGGTTAATTTTCATCACTTCAAATTATGTTCCTGGAACACCTGATCAAGAAAAAATGGTTGGTTGATATGGTTACATATACAAGGAGAATTTCAACATCTTATTCAAGGATACCCTTTGTCAAACAACTTGAAAAACAACATTAAAATCGACACACACACACACACAGGATATTCTAGCAGTCAAATATAGAATACGAATTTTTCAAATGAAACGTGATACTCTAATTACTGAACGACAAAACAACAAAAAATTCTCTAAAGGATTCTCTTGTTCATGTTTTTGCAAAATGAACAATAATTGTTGTCGATGATGATGTTGATGATGGCCGTTTGTTTGATTTGGGGATATTTAAACGATGAACATTTTCCAAAAAAAAAATTCAAATCAAAATCAATTTTTGAATCAAAAAGAATAAAAACCAAGAGTGACAAAGAAAATCCAGAACTCAAGAAAGAATATCAGTGATTTGATTTGACGAATTTGTTTGTTTGTGGCAAAAAATCAATAATAATCAATCAATCAATCAAAAAAATGGCCTCATCAACGATAACATCGTTTTGTTTTGGTGGTCGAACAATATTTCTAATGACCATATTAATAATTATTTATTATTCAAATTATTATATGGTTGATGGATTTAAAAAACCACCATTGAATGGTGGAATTTTTGGTAAACGATCATCATTATCATCCATATCATCTTCATCACCATCATTACAATCACCACCACCATTATCATCATCATCAGCAGCAGGATTATCATCAATGTTTGGTCGTTTTAATGTTCAAGGTTTTGTAGTTTTTTGTTTAAGATTTTTTTTTTACAAATATTTTCTCATTCTTTTACCACCAATCCCTCCTAGATATCGATAACGATATGAACAATATATGCGATTTGGTTACCAATTTAATGCCCGTTTGTAATAATTGGTTTATCAAACTGAATGAATTTATCAGTAATAATAATAATAACAACAAATGAAGTAATAACTTCTGGATCTGAATTTGGATCATCATTATTACAAACGAAATTCTCAACAACAACAACAGCAAAAACACTCATCATCATCATCATTCATCGTCGAAACATTATCAAAAATCATTTCGAAACTTACATATTACAAAATTTTTAACATTTTGAACAAACTTTTTTGTTTTCCTTGAATGGATCCAGTAAATCAAACAAACCAAACCAAAACAAACAAAAATATTATTCATCTTTAATTATCATCAAGAATCTCGTTTGATTATATACTATGTATACATAATTACATTCATCTATTATGATAAATCACACACACACACCTACACAAACATGGGACAAAAAATTTTTAATTTTCATTCAACAACCAAAAACTCAAAAACCGAAAGAGAAATCATTCCAAAACTCAGATAGAAAATTATCTTGATTCGAAAACATGATAATAATAAAATTTGTCAGTTAAAATTATTATTATTACCGTTGTTGAAGTCGAGAATCAACCACAAGAAAAGAAAGAAATAAATAATGAAAAATAAACTGAAACTGATTTATGATTAGAAATACAATTACAATAACCAACAACAATCAAATTAAATTAATTTTGTCTGTTTGTTTGTATGAAAAACAAACAAAAAATAATAAAAGAATTTCTATTTTCCTGTCAAATGAATGGACAAGATGAAAATCTTCAAAATCAATCAACAAAATGAATTTGTTGTTGAACAAACAAAACAACAACAACAACAAAACATTTATCCATAATTGCGTAGGCGTTATGTAAGATTGTATGAAGATCCGAATATTTCTTTTCTTTTGTTGTTGTTGTTGTTGTCTCACTTTAAGTGTAAATTTCAATTTAATCATTTCCGACTTAGGGTTTTTTTCTCTTTCTCTATCTCTATATCTGTTTGTGTGTTTATATTTAACTTTTTCCAAAAAAATTTTGAATGTTTCTAATTTTGGGTTTTTTTATTTTTTGTTTGTTTGTTTGTTTGTTTTTTTCAATCTTTATTTATTTTCTTTTGTTGGTGGGTGCATTTTTAGTTCAAGTTTAATGTGTGGATGTTTGTTTTTTCATTCCATTCCATTTTTTGAATTCTCAAATCAAATGAAAAGAAAAGAATTGATTAAGGTCAAGATTCGAGTGAAAAAAAGATGACAGCCATTGTTTTTTCAAATTTACCATAGGATTTTTTTGTTTCGAAGAAGAAGCGAAGAAGAAATTCTGGAATCAACCGGTTTCTCTAGAAAAAAAGGGTTACCACTTTTTCTATTTCCACAAAATGGATTGAAATTTATCATGCAAACATCATACATCTGTTTAAAGCAGATGAAGAGAGAGTGAGAGAGAAAATATCAATCACGAAAAAAAAGTGGAAAATCACCGAAACGAGTTACTGTTTTTGATTTTAATTAATTTTAATACTTTCAGTGTATGAATATTGAAATGAATCGTTTGATTACAGGTATAGCAACGTTGAAGATATTCATAACAACAAAAAACAGATCAAAAACAGATTGATTACTTGATTGATTGATTGATCAAGTAATCAATTATTTCTTTGATTGATTGCAATTTCTTTTCTTTTTTTTTCTGCAATATATTATCTTCATCTTCACCATCACCATCACCATCATTCGTTATAATCATCATCTGTAATAATTATTTGGGCGAAAAAAAAATTGAATTCATAATGATAATTTTGAAATTCATTGATTCAACACAAAGGTATTTCGAGAGCAATTCTGATTGATTGATTGATTGTATGAATGAAATCAATCGTGTAATTTTATTAAATTTACACTTGTTGTTTGTTGATGTTGCTGCTCTTGAATGACCATGAATAAAAAAAAATGATAATGAAAAGGCCATGAATTTGTGTACTTCTGTTTTTCGCTGACATAAACAATGTTCAGAGTGCAGATTGCTATGCAAGAAAAAAAAATTTAAATTTTTATTTATTTCAGTTTTTTCATTTCATTTCTTTTAATTGAAAAGATACATACCCTTCCCCATTATAAGTAAACAATTTCATCAATCATTCAATGTTGTTGTTGTTGTTGTTGTAGATGATGACAAATGATGAAAATCAAAAAAAGAACAACAACAACAACAAAACAAAAATATGATGCTTTTTCGATAATATCAACAATTCATTCAATCATAATCATCATCATCATCACAATCGAAACACGAAATTTATTTGATCAAGTCCGTCAGTCAATCAATATCAATCAATCCTACAGAAGCGAAAAAGAAAAAAAAACATTAAAGTTGATCAAAACAAAAACAAACAAAAATTGTCGTTTTGGAAATTCAACATCAACATCATCATCGACATCATAATCAGTAAGGAAAAAAAATTATAAAATACATTCTCTCTCTCAATCAGTTGATTGATTTTGATTTTTTCATTTTTTTTCATTTGCCAGTTTGATTCGTAAAACAAAAATCCAATCATCTTTTTGGAATATAGTGATTTAAATAGATATTTAAAAAAAATGATCAACCATCATTATTGTTCAACATTACGTTTATCATCATTTATGATGATAACAATTTTTCTATCATCATCATTATTATTAATAACAATGATTTTAATCACAAATATTGATAATGTTGATGGACAATTTTTTACTAAAACATCTAAATCAATACCAAGAATGGGTAGAAAAGTGGATAATAGTTTAATTATGGTAAGTGTTGTTTGTGTTTGTTTTTCGTTGAATTTCCAATCTATCTTTTCTTTTTTTCCCTTTCTTTCAACCAATTAGGAATCGGAGGATTTACCAATATCAGATCGAATCAATGACTATGATCGAATTCCATCAACATTTTGGAATCATCAACAACAACAACCGAATAATCAAACCAATCTATTACATCGGCTATTTGTTCAAATTGCACGTTTATTTCGTCAATCACCTCAAGCATATTGAAAAAAAAAATTTTTCAACAAAACATTCTCATCAATAACAACCAGAAAATCCAAACAAAAAAGTCATTGATTACCAAACAACAGAAATTTTGTAAAAATATTTTTTCCACAAACTTTTTCATTTATTTATCGAAATTATTCAGATTAAATCAACCAAATACAACAACAAAAACAGAAATGAATTTTTGTTCATTGTGTAAATGATCAATGGTGTTCAATCATTCTCTCCAGAATTGGCTATGGTCGTGATTGGTTTTTTTCTTTCTTGATTGATTGATTGATTGATGATCACGAATTTAAATGAAAGGTAAATCGATTATCATCAATCGATTCTGTGTGTTGCATCCAGTATTTTCTCTTTTTTTCAAAACCAGAATCCAGAATACAGAATTATCATTATTTCAACAAAAGCAAAAAACAAACTTTCAACTTTTGTTTATTTATTATTTTAATTTCAAAATTTATATCCTTTTTTTTTGTTTGTTTCCAGTATTTGTTTTTGTCTGTTTGTTTGTTTTAAATTATTCATTTTAATTTTCATATTTACATAATTTTTCTGTCTGTGTGTGTGTGTGTTTTGAATTCTCTTGTGAAAAAAAAGATTTGTTTTGGTTACTTTTGTATCTTTTTCAATCGATTCAAATGTACTTTATCAATAAATTTTTAATTTCTTTTTTTTTGTTTGAAATAAATGATTTTTTTCGTGGTGGTGATAATGATTGGACAACAACAACAAAAAATGTATCTAATTAAATAAGGGGAAAAAAAATTTGCTACTTTTTAATTTTGAATCAATAGTGTTATTGCATGCGAGAATAGATTTCAATGATTTTTCAATGATGATGCTGAGATCTATGGATAGAAATGCATGATGATGATGACCATAGGATGACCAATGATGATGATGATGATCGTTTTGCTGGAATAAATATTCGTTCACCTTTCACCAAGATATAATTTATTCAAATTTTCTTTATTGTCATTGATGTTATCGTTGTTGTTGTTGTTGTTCAAGTTTTCTGAATATTCTTTCATTTTGGATGATGATGATAATTTTAACATTGCCAATGGCATATTAAAATCATCATTATCATCATTTTGTTGTTGTTGTTGTTCGCCAAAATTATTGCCCATATATGATATTGATGGTGATAATGATGATTGTTGTTGTTGTTGTTGTATCGGTTCTAATGCCATTGTTGATGGTTGAAAACCACCACCTGAACGTTTACGTGAAAATAATGTAAATCCACAATGACAACCACCAACATAGCCATTAAATTTTGTACGACGACAAAATGATGAACAATCTAAACGTCGTATAACGGTTGGAAAATCCATTGTACGTACAGCATTAACATGATTTTTTTGTTCATTATTATTATTCAATATGGCAATAATTATAATAATGGAAATCAATACAATCGATGATGATAATGATGATATTGATTTTAATCGTTGATTTGCCGTATTCATGATTTGATGATTTTTTGAAATTTCTGTTGAAATTGCTATCAGTAAAACGAGGGAAAAAAGATATTCGAAGAAAAATTTCCAAGAAATTGGACACTATTGTAAAGAAAGTTTACTGTAATTGGTGAATTCGTTCAAAGTTTATCTCAATTCAAAGAATCCAAATTATCAACCAAAAATGATGATGATGATAATAATCGAAAAACTAAATCGAATGGCAATTCTGTATGAATATTTATCTAGTTTAAATATCAATGTTGATAATATTTTTTTTTCTTTCAAAAAATGGCGACATCTCAATCCACTAAAATCTAGTCTAGAAAAAAAACATAGAGGTATATTTTTGTTGGTTGGTGGTTGAAAGGGAAAATATATCCAACAAGCAAAATAAAAAGTAAAAAGAAAATCTTCATCCAAAGTTTCACCATCAAAGTAAGTAAACAAAGGGAACAGGGACATACAGAATCTGGTTCAAAATCAGCATATAAAAAACATAATGAAAATAACCAATAACGTTTGAAAAAAAAATTGTGTCGGTGTGTGATATGCAAAAAAAAATTCATGCATTCAGCAATATTCTATGTGACGCAACATATAATGTTGTTTTTTTTTCGCGCGAGTTATACACAAAGATGGTAGAATTTTGAATCATGAATGCATGCGGAATGCGCATGCGATGCATTTGATTATCATTTTTTTAATCATGAATATTTTGGGGTTATATAATCCATTCAAATAATATGCATCGACATGTATTTTTCCTCACTCTCTTTAGTTCTTTTTGAATAAGAACAAGAGTACGTTATTTAAATTTATTAACCACTTGGTATGTGTGTAGGTTAATCGAATGCAGAAATTGAAAATTTTTCAGAAAACAGAAAGGAAGGAAAGAAATCTTTCCAGATTTTTAAAATCAGAGATTTTATCGGATAAAAATTAAAAATTTTCATCACATTCTTGTTGTTGTTGATTACCGTCAATTTTTGGCTTGTTTGATTTTACGAAAAAATGCCTCCGGAAATTTTTTTTTCTGGATAAAAAAACCATATGGTTATGTTTAATTCATCGAAATGCATCATTTGTTTTCGTCGTCATCGTTGTTGTTGTTGAAAACCATGTTTGTTTGTGATTTCATTTTTCTGTTTACCAAAGTTCTTTACATTTTTTGTTTGAAGGGGAGGATTTGAAAATCAATTTTTTTTCCACATTCAAAATTCATCAGGTAAAATCATTTGGTTTTTTGAATTGAGCAAGGGGAGGGAAGGAAAACATCCGACAGAATATTTTCAAAACTACGTAAAACCTACTTAACAACCTGGGAAACAAAAAATTTCGTCGTGCGTAATATCAACGCAAGCAGAACGATATTGGAATTTTTTTTCCATTTGGCCTAAAACAATTATATTAGCTTAACGGCTTATCTTTTTGCAGAAGATTTTTATTTACACCAGCCAAAAAAAACAGAAAAAAAATTAAAATCAACCCAAGAGATATTTACACATAATGTACATTACAAAAAAAGAGAGAGAGATAAGGATTTTATGAAAATCTTTATGGGAAAAAAGGAAACTTTCTCGAAAAAAATTCATATGACAAATTTATGTTGCAATTATGTAAATTCAAGCCGGATATTTTCTTGTTTGTTTGTCTGTATTTTGAAAAACTAAGTTTATCGTTTTTTTTCTTGGTTGTAAGAAAAGATTTTCCACCAAAAAAATTTATGGAAAGAAAATTTCCGAAATTTTTTTCCATAAAAATGGCAAAGATATGTTTATCCTGAAGATTTATTCTTCAAAAGTTGAAATGTTTTGTTTTGTTTTGTTTGTTTGTAATAAAATCTGCTGCCATCATCCTTTCAACAGGACCAGAAAAAAAAGAAAGAAATTAACTTGATGACTGTAAAAAATAAAAATAATTAGGTAATTTTAATTCATAGTGATTTCATAGTCATCAACAACAACAACAACATTTTTTCACATAAAAGTTACGCATATGATGATGATGATGACATCATTAGCATTCTTTTTTTCGTCAATGGTAACGGTGGTTAACAAAAAAAAACACGTTAAAAATTAATTTTATCAAACAAAAAACCATAGTTTCCATCATCATCATCATCATCATTATCGTCAAATGTTACGATTTCGGGCAAAAAAGAAAATCATTTTCATGAGAATTCCTTCATTGCAGAGAATCACATCTAATCTAAAGTTTGTGTGTGTGTTGATACTGATAATGATGATGATGATGATGAGAAAACAACAAGCCAAAAAAAAAAAAAAAAAAAAAATTTA